AAAGAGGAAGACCCCCAGCAAGATGGATTTGCAAAGTGACAGAATCAATGGGCTCAAACATGGCAACAATAGTGAGGTTGGCTCAGGACTGGGCAGTGTTTTGTTCTGTTGTGCATAGGGGCGCTATGAGTCGGTACCAACTCGATGGCACCTAACAACAACAAGTGAATGTGAAGTGGTATTTCATTGTGGTTTTGATTTGCATTTCCTTGGTGACTAATGAGACTGTCTGCTCCCACAAAGCTTTACAGCCTTAGAAACCCTATACAGGGTCACTATGAGTCAGAATTGACTCGACAACATTTCAACAATAGCAGCAACAGATATATAGTTACCAAAATTTTTTCTCCAACTTTGTAGACTGTCTCTTCACTGTTGATACTAACCCACCTTTTTAAACCTTTGGTGCACAAAGGTTTCAATTTTGATGAAGTCCTATTGTTTATTTGTTTTTTTTTGTTTTTTTTTTTGCTGTTTGTGGTTTTGGTGTCAATATTAAAAACAAGGTCTGGAAGCTTCATCTCTATGTTTTTTTCTAAGAGTTTTATCATTTTCGTTCTTACAGTTAGATCCTTGATCCATTTTGATAAGTTTTCATATATGGTGTGAGGTATGGGTTGAACTTGACTTTTACATGTGGAGACCCAGTGTTCTAGCACCATTTGTTGAAGAGACTATTCTTTCCTCCATTGAATGGTCATGGCCCCCATGTCAAGAATCAGTTGGCCGCAGATTCTTGGATTTATTTCTGGACTTTCAGTTTTATTCCATTGGTCCATATGCTTACCCTTATATATTGTTGTTGTTTTTTTTTCTACTGTAGTTATCTGGTACACTTTGGATTTGTTAAGTGTGGGTCCTTCTACTTTTTTCCCTTTCTTTTTTCAAGTTTCTGCTATTGGAGTCTCTTGCAATACAATATGAATTTGAGAATTAGCTTTTCCATTTCAGGAAAAAAAAAAAAAAGGCTGTTGGAATTTTTATAGGGATTGTATTGAGTCTATAGATGATTTTGGGTGATATTGACATCAGAACAATATTAAGTCTTTTGGTCCATGAAC